TTTCTGGGCTGCCCTTACCTTGTTTGCAAAGTGAGTTTATTAATATTACCTTCCTCTTATACCTTGAGGATAAATTAGTCCAGAAGTATGTGGGCTAGTACAGGTAAGCACAACACTGGCACCAAATCAACACTCTATAAATGTATATTGTTCTGGTCATATCTTTGGCCTTATTTCCCCCTATAGAACTGTAGCACTGTCCTCTCGTTGTTCATAGATTTCCTCGAGCGGGCACCAGTAATGTCTCACAACAAATTGCAAGACTTGTTGTTACTGTTTTTGGCATATCGAATACGTCATGGGTAGCTTGCCAGGCTTTGCAGTGCAGGTGAGATACTCTCAGTAGCTTGCTGGGCTCTCTGAAAGGGGCTGGATCGATAGCACAGCAAGTAGGGCGTCTGCCTTGCACATGGCAGGCCCAGGTTCGATTCCCCTGTATTCACTGTAAAATGTGTATCAAGGCTATGCACACCTCACAGATTGTTGTCAGGAACAAATAAATAAATGAACATTAGTCCGTGGTGCAGGCTTCTAACAAACTAATGTTCAAATATTTTTACCTATGTTTACTTAGTATGACTGTTATTATGTATTAGCAATATCAAGACAGAGTGTCTCACCAATCCTCAGTAATAGCAGTTTTCAGACTCTAAAAACAGCATCAATTTTAAAGGTCAATTTGGCAGATGTACTAAAATGGCACCTATGTGCTTCAGTGGAACTCTACATTTGTATGAGTTAGAAGTTGAGTCTAGAAGGGTGTGGGCTGGTATTTTTTTCCAAAAGGACCGGCTTGTGGGTAAAGAAGCAAGATTTTAGCTGAACATCTGGGTTTATAGAATCTGACCTGGATGTAAATCTGCAGTTTCTGTAAGTTCTATGAAGTTAGAAATTCTGGTTCAATTAATAATATCCCCTCCCACTCACCCCTAGACCCGCCCCCCAGGCAACATAACGAAAAGGGCAAGCAACTTTGAAGGTTGCCCACAAATGTGACTATGAAAGAACTTCATATCTAGTGGTTTTAAGTCCAGAATGAAATGGTAAGTAAAGAATGAAATAGAATTTTCCCTGTGTTTTTAAGGACCAACTGAGAAAGTTTTTCTCCTAATTCTCTTCTGTGAGACTTCAGGGGCTCATATTCTTGTTTCAGGACCCCTGGGGACAGTGTTAAATTGCAATAAAATTTCCATGTATTCTTGGATTAGTCACTTCTAACAGGGTCTTAGTTTTCTCCTTCTGTAAAATAACGATATTGGATTACATGATGTCTAACTTACTTTCTAGATCTGATAATCAATTAATCTTTGAACCCAATAATAGTAACAATTGGCAATTCATTTCCTGAAATGTAATTCAAACAAATAAAATAGTCAGGAGTTCATTCTCTGCCATGATCCACAGGCAGCTATGAGGTTGGGAGAGAAAACAAATGTGTGTGTGTGTGTGTGTGTGTGTTTCTAGATAATTTTAGGTGTGTGTGTGTGTGTGTATCCAAGTACTTCTTGGGCAAGCTATTATTTTTGCCTTTCCAGGTTTTTTATCCCTTATTCTAGAATGATGTCTATTTATTCCCTTTGAAAACTGCCTGCCCCCCATCCCATAAGACTGTCCATCCCACATGACTCACCCCTTACCCTCCCAAACCCTTTGAAAAAGGTAGTTGATTACATGATCCAAGAAGGGTAAATTATAGTCCTGTTAGGGGCAGATATGAATTTTTGGTATTCTCTAAAGTTTTGGAATATGCAATCTTGTTGGGAGACATCTTTGTTACCAAGTGGGAAAAAAACTAACAGGGACTGAAGTCAAAAACATGAAAGGGCAAAGAAAGCACAGAGGAAGGAAGGGAGGTGAAGAGGGAAGGAAAGAGGGAGGGAGAAAGAGTGAAATGTTGAGAGAGAAAGATCACAAAAAAAAGAAAAAATGAAGGAAAAAAGAGAAAGATACAATTTACAAGAAAATTTCTTTTCATGAACTCTAGATCCACTATGCATAAAGGTAAATTTACCCCATGCCTATTCCAGGTAAACAAGGACAGAATCTCCTCCTTTTCCCCTTTTATCTTCAAGTTCATAGATTCTTCAAATAGGGATTCATGATCCAGAAAAGATTAGAAACCACCACAATTGGAGCATTTATTAGAGATGGAATGAACTCACATCAGAAAGAAACAAAGTTTATTTGATGAATATAAATAAGGCGATCAGCACAAAGTACTTCTCATACACATGAGAACAAATTTATGAACTGTACATACCTTGTACATTGTACTTCTACTAGACACAAGGTTACAATGACTGGCTAATACATGCCCACTAGTAGTTTCTGAGGGTTCCTTAATTGAAATTTTTTTCATATCGAAATCCATAATCACACGGTCAATATCACAACCCACATGCCACTCACTGAAAGAAATATTACAAGAAGCACTATCAAACTAGGGTCTTGGGGAATTAGATACACTGACCCCTGGCAGAATTCAAATGCCACTCTACACAAAAAACATCTCAGATAGAGCTTATGTCAACACATTTGAGGTCGCATCATAAACACTGTTTAAAAAGTAAAGTGAAACCCACTTCCAAGTGAAAGTTGACACGCTGTTAACGTGCATACTGAATACACAAAAATCATTAAATACAAAATCGAGACTATACATACAAATAAAATGGTGTATAAAGTACAGCCTGCTTTTGCACAAAGCAAGAAGACCAACTTCTCTTAAATGTTAGCCTCAACTTTTTATCTTCAATTTCATTCTGATTCAAGGGGAACCTGCTAACATTTGCACAAAGGAAATATCTTCCCAACATCACAGTGTTTGTTGTAAACCCAGAGACTATTTAATATGTGAAAAGGGATTCAGGGGATCATACCCCAAAATCAGAGAAATGGTATTGGGAATCATACCCAACGTCATTTTTTCCTTTCTTACAAAAAAATGGGAAAGACAGGAGACAGAATTTATTTTTAAAGGAACTAAATAATATGTCTCCATAAAGGTAAGATTAATAATTGTTTAAACCAACAAAATTGGGGAAAAAAGATCCCCCCAACTAATAGCTGTAACAAAATTGGCACATACTTATAAATAGCTATCTATACATGATTGGTTGTTTTTTCTGTTTTGAGGACTCTACATACCCTCCCTAGTGGATTTCCTACTTTTTACTTCAAGTATTCAGAGTTGCAGAGTCAGGTTAGGACCTGGTGTAGGAGGCATTGAGGACCACTTCTTTGAGGACACCCAGATTGTTCATGGGGATGAGTTTGTGGCCTGGGTTTTTTTGTGATATTATGTTAAATGTGCTAAATATGCTTACAAATAACTTTTTTCATTTCTTCCAATCAAGACCTTCATCAGTTTGATAGTTAAAAGACAACTTTTAAAAAGAAGAATGTATTTGGATTGTTTATGCAACAGGTAAACTTTACATAGTCTGCTATACTTACTGACAACAAGGACAAAGCCAAAAGCAAGAATTCTGCTTTAGTACATTACTCTGAATATACCAAGAATAAACATTGCCAATCAGAGTCAGTTTTATCTTCCCCAACAAATAGGATGTCTGTCTTTTTAATATCTCTATGGCTCATGGGAGAGGTTCAGATTTCATTGCACCAACATCTTAAAAAGTAATAATAATGACTAAATTCAATGCAAGACTTTGGGAACATATGCTTAGAATCCTTTCCACAGCAGCAAAGAAAGACAACTATATTTATTAAGGCCACTCATGCTTAAATTCACTTGTCCTTTAAAATGCAGATTTTCATCTCCTAATTGCATACACGTGGAAGGGTTTCTTCCTTTGACAAGAAAATGGATCAATACTAGAATTGCACATGTTTGCAGACTTGGTCATGAGTTTTATGAAGTTACAAGAACTTGAGTTTATTTTTTTATCTTCAGAGGAAATAATAGGAGTTTAATTCTCCTTAGTACCATGTCACTGAATATAAAAGACCTCAAAATTTGGTCTCTTTCCCTGGCATGTGCTTTAAATAATGACTCTATACTCACAAATTTGTTGTGTAGAGCTATATACAGATACACAGCTTCGTGATTATTCCCCATTCATCAATGTTTTCATGTTGAATGCAGAAAATGTTTTGGAATCCATGTTGGAGACTTTTAAAAAAATGAACCGTCATTTACAGAAGCCCTAAGCTTACACTATTTGTACAGCATTTGGATCTTGAAATGAAAATGAGTCCCAGCTTCTTCATGGAGACCTGCACGTACGGGAATGGGAAGAGTCTGAGGCTTGGCCACATTCCTGCTCTGGGATGTATGGAACACACAGAATAAAACTGTGCTGGTGCCTCAGGCTTTTGCCACTCTCCAATACATAGACAGGGTAGATAAAAATTATGAGTGATCAATTTAGATGTGCCATGCATTGTCAGAGACACACACCATGTTCTCATAAGGCGATTTCTTGGCAAGTAATAGTGGTTTAAAAAATTGATTTCATTTCCAACCTGGCCCAGAGGTAACTACTGGTTACATCATCAAGACGTGCTTCTTTGAACAGCAGATTAAAGAAACAGAGGAGGGTAAAGGCTCGCCATTTTTGGTGTTTTGGTTTCCTTGTCAAACACTCCATGCATCTTGGTATACAAACACTGCCAACACCACTCACTCACAGAGAATTTATACTTTTTTGATAATCTAATGCATTAGGAATGACCACTTAGACTGAACCAGCAGAAAAAAACTGGAGATAAAGCTAGTTGTCTAACAAAAGCTAAATCCACAGTTAAAATTCCATGGAGTTTAAAGTTATCCAATGAGGTTTAAGTGAAATAATTAAAATGTAATCAACTAATGACATTCAGAAGAGATGGTCACATATTGAATACCAAAATCCCAACAATAGAGGAGCTGCCATTTTTCTCCTCCTCCACATTCTTCCTTTCCATATATCTGAATCCATGAGAAACGAGATGAGGTGATGAAGGAAATATCAAGTCGAACAGAAACATGCTCAGTAATGAAAGTGAAAACTCCTCTTCAGTCCTGATGAGCCATTCCATGTGGTGATGGACAGTGATGTGAGCCGCACTGCAATAGATTATCAGAATATTGCTGCAGAGCTGCATTTTCTCTTTATTCAGCCCTTCTGATAGCTGTAACAAGAAAGCACATGATTTAACAGGGAAAGAAATTGGCACTGATGTCTGAGATAATCTTGGCAGTTGCTCCACTTCTCCCCACCCCCACCCGGGGGGCCCCTTCACTCTTCTTTTGGCTAAGGGCTATAGGGATTGAGGTAAGGGATCGTGAGGAAGAAGCAGAGAAGAAAAAAGTGAACATAAAGTGGAATGACACTCTAAAAACACCTAAGAATAGGCCTCTTTCAAAATTTGTCACATACAGGTAACAATTCCTCCGCCCCTCTCGGAGAGCCCGGCAAGCTACCGAGAGTATCTCGCCTGCACGGCAGAGCCTGGCAAGCTCCCCGTGACGTATTCAATATGCCAGACACAGTAACAGGTACAGAAGTTGTTTAAATGCAAAAAGAATAGAAAATAAATAAGCCAAATTGTTTCAATGGTTATATCTGTACCACATATTTTTCTTTTCACACCTTTCCGTAGACCATTTTTTCCAATTATTTTTAACAACTTTATTGATATTGGAGAGTTTCAGATGGTCAAGACACTAGAGAACTTAAAACCATGTAGAAGAAACAATTTAAAAACAATACTCAATCCTGCAATTCCATGACCAGATATATTTCCAGACAGTGAAAAACAGGACCTCAGAAAACTACTTGTACACAAATGTTCATAGATGCATTACTTACAACAGTCAAAAAGAAGAAATTACAGATGAATGGATTAACAAGTTATTATCATACTATTACAAAGAAATGGAGCTCTGAATCAGTCTATAACTTGGATAAGCCTTCAAAGTCATATTAAAATATGCCAGACATTAAAGTATAAATATTTCTATTATATAAAAGGCCTAGAAGATGTAAATTCATGGAAGTTGAAAATAGATTAGCGATTACCAGGGTCTCAAGGAGGGCAGGGGACTGTGTTGTTAATGGATACAGAATTTCTCTGTGCGGAAGTGAAAAAGTTATGCAAATGGCTAGTGATATTGGTTGTTCAATTCTGTGAATGTACTTAATACCACTGAATTTGTACCTTTACATAGTTAAAATGGCAAATTCTGTTGTATATATTTTGCCACCATAGAAATAATTTTTTAAAAAAATATTGAATTCACCTGGGGAACATAAAGTAGCAAAATAGAAGACTAACACCCAAGAATAGCCGAGATAAATATCAGGAGGTTTATTCCATGGCTTGGAGGCCAGTCGCACACGCTAGGGAAAAAGGCAGCTCAGATAGAGAAGGGAGCACCAAATAAAGGGTGTTGGGAGCATCCTCCCAGGAGGGGGGATGCATGCTGAGAGTAGACTATAGACCGACCATGATTGCCACTCAATGCCTCTTTTGCAAACCACAGCACCCAAAAAAAGAGAGAGTACAAAAGGGAATGCCTTACCACAGAGGCAGGGTGGGATGGGGGGGGGGGGTATGGGGGGTGGGAGGGATACTGGGATCAGTGGTGGTGGAGAATGGGCACTGGTGGAGGGATGGGAGTTTGATTATTGTATAACTGAAACACAAGCACAAAAATTTGTAAGTCTACAACTCTACCTCATGGTGTTTCACTAATAAAAATTTTTTAAAAAAGAATATTGATCATCTACTTAGTGTAGAATGAGTCAAAGTTGCTTTTATCTCCACATTCAATGCCTGTGGGTATGTTTAAGGCCAAATATAAATGTACAAGCCATTTACACATTTCATAACTTGGGTAGCAGTTACCCAAAAGTTCTCCTAAGTCTTCTCACAATTAGTGTCCTGCGTGTGGAATACAACTGCAACCAGAGGAGAAACAGTCAATAGGTAAGAGAGGCCTATCCCACACAGATGCCTCCCCTGATGACCTTCAGCGGTACTCTACCTGGTGTGCCAGTATCCTCATCATTCACACCAACAAGTATTCAGGGGCATTCCAGGCACCTGGCAGTAGTGCAGCACTCTGGGGAATTGGGTCAGGATCGGAAAGATCAAATACACACACTCATACATGTGTGAGTCACTCTTTTTATGTGTAGCCTGAGCTATCCTATTTGGTGATGGATACATAGCATTTCTCAAGTTACACTGACTAATAGAACACACCAGTGTCTACACAGGTCAGTAATTATTGCAAACCATCATCTAAAAAGTGCAAATGAAATATGTGGCTTGGATATACTCTGCTAATTCATATGCTGAGGAGTTTGGTTGTAACCCTCCTGGTTAAGAAACTTGAATCAGGGCAAGAAGAAAAAAATGACTTTTGCAGAGCCAGAAATCTAGGGAGTTCCTAGAGCAGATCATATTACTCATTCTGGCACATAAAATCTGTGCAAACTGTGTATGAATATTGTAAGTCAGAGCACGCTTTCTGCTTCATGAGCTGTGCATAGCTCTAATTCTTTTGTGCATTAAACATTTCTTAATCATCCTTTAAAAAGGCTGACCAATATATATTTTTAAAAAGGCAGCATGATTAAAAGGTAAAGAGAAATCTGAAGTACTACTAAAATGCACCAGTCATATTTTACAGATGGGGAAACGAGTGAAAAATAATTACAGCAAATGTCCAATGTCCTTGATGTTTTTCCAAGATAAAGTAGCAAAGAACAATCATTTATTCAGTTGAGAGAAAGATTTCCAGCTGGGTAACAGGCCACAGAGAAGAATGCAGTGTCTTGGAACTACAGTGCACTGCTTTTGTGTAAGGTTATGCTGAGTAGAGAATTCTCAAAAAGTGGTGCCACCCCTTCAAGCAAACAACCCATTCACCAGCAAACCTGCTGCTGTTTGGGACCATTTCAGTAATGACATCTGAATCATCTTACATTCTTAACTTGCATTTAAATGCCCTTATCAATAGTTGGAAATGCAAAAATCTTGTTGGAGGGTAGGCGGGGGTGTGGAAGCACCTGCTTAAAAATATTTTTTTTTAAGAATCCTGGGAGAATGAGGGCTGGAGTAATACAGGGGTGTCTCAGTGGCAAAGGTACCTGCCTTGTAAGCATGAGACCTTGAGTTTAATCCCTGACACTGCTCTACGTATGTTGTAGGCAATGCTGGAGGTAGTGCTGCTTAAGATCCCAGATGACACTACAAAGTATGTGATCTCTGGCACACTGCAATGAGTGTGTGTGAGCACAACAACTAGAGTGCAACCCCCCAGGGAGTATTTGTACAAGTACCACAACGCAATGTGGACAATACAGGAGTTCATTAGAACAGCATCAACAAAAGGAAACAAAAAGGAGTAAATGATGGTGTGACAATGATGCTAGTAATAACAGAATTCCTGGCTTGCAGCAATAAGACAACATGAGAAGCTACTCTCTGTGAGACAATCTCTAGCCAGTCACAAGCCCCACTTCATTTCCCTCCCAACACACACATACACCTAGATTGTCAGGCCCAACCTGATGCAATCCCGTGCACCCACAGGTTAAGAAACAACATCCAATTCTATTATCTCTGGGCAGCCAGTGGGTTCATTTCAATAATAACATCTGCTTTATCTTGCATTCTCTGTTGGCAACCTTCATTGATATCCCCACTGCCCTCTTGATGGAGGGTGTGTGTGTGGCAAGGCCCCTCCTGGCCTCCTTGTCTCTAGCTCCATTCCTCCTCTTCCAGCAATGCTGAACCTACTTCTGGAGTCCTTCCTCGTTTTTCCCCTTCATTGTACAAACTTGTCTTTCTGACATGGATTTATACCAACCATTGACCTGGTTGATTACTATTTATTCAGTTTAGTAGTCACTTTTTCCTGGAAATCTTTCTGACCCTCCAGAGTGTTGGATGTAGCATAGGAAGTCTCCCACATCCTGCACTATCCCCTTCTGGTGACTTCTAAATTTTTCCTTTCATATCATAGCCGCTGTCCACAGGAGGTTACCATGCAATTGAAATATGGCCAGTATAATAGAAATAGATGGTAGGGAAGACATTCAGTTTGGTTTTTCAAGACTACTATGTAAATAAACCTTAATAAATGATAATTTTCTATATTCATGTCACAATGGTATTCAGGATATATTGGATGAAATACATTTTAAGATTTCTAATTATGATTTTTTAAAATCACCGCTAGGAAACTAGAAGTGCAGCTGCAGTTTGCTTTATATTTCTATTGAGCAGCCCGGTCTAGGCTATAAATTCTTTGAGGGTTTGAGGCAGACAGTCTTGCTCACTTATAAGATCCCTTGTGCCTTGAGCAGTTTGGGGAGCAAACAAATTTACTCTTTTTGCTCCATGAACTCCACAGGTATCATAGCTCCACATCTATAGTGGACAGAATCCTAAATTGATGCCGTTCCCCAAGATTGTATGTTCTAAACTTTGGTAGTAGGACGATGAACTAATTATGTTAATTTGCAGTGCAATTTAGGGTACTAATCAATTGATTTTAGTCGAATGAAAGATTATCTCAGTGGACCTAATTTAATCACATGAGCCCTTGGATCACAGAAAGTCTCCCTATCCGCAGAAGAAAGCTTTGGGGAAACTGAAAATAGCAGTTTGTTATGCTGAGATGGGAGGAGACACAGGTTAAAGACTGAGTATGTTCTGTAGTATTTGATAGCAGATCCGTTGACCACCAGAAAGTCAACAGGAACTATAGTTTAACACTAAGAAACAAATTCCATCAGAAACTGAAAAATGATCTTGGATGTAGGCTAGATCCCAGACTCTCAGCTTAAAGTTCAGGCTGGCCAGAACCTTGGTTTTGATCTTGCGAGACCCCAGTGAGAGAATCCAGTGTCAATGGACTGGTCTTCTGGCTTTTGCAACAGTGATATAATAAATGAGTATTGCTTTAATTCACTACATATGTGGCATTTGTTAGGCAGCAATAGAAAATTAGTGCCCCTCCTTTGTGTCAGAAGTGTGATTAGTACCAGTTAAAGAAGACAAAGAAAACTTATATTCTCAAGGAACCTGCATTTTCAGGGGAGAGAGATAAGACAATACATAGGTACACATATAAATAAAGGAATAAGAATTTTAAAACATTGGAAGAGAATAGG